ATGCACTAATAAATTAAAATATTTTCCTATTGCCTTGAGGATTTTACGGATCCTTAATGATCACTTATTCAGCACCTGCAGCATAAAGAACACAGTTTAAATTTCATTTATTAAATTAAGTTGTGGCCAGCAATTTCAATGAGCTTTCAGCGAAGTAATTGCTATGCGATGGCAATACAAAGATCAGTATCATTAATACAGTCGGCGGCTTAAGGACGTGTCAGTAAGACCAATGCAGTTTATATTTTTTTAAGAAGTTTACAACCTTTCATATTATGAATTTCTTTTAACCAATTTAATGCACTAATAAATTAAAATATTTTCCTATTGCCTTGAGGATTTTATGTATCCTTAATGATCACTTATTCAGCACCTGCAGCATAAAGAACACAGTTTAAATTTCATTTATTAAATTAAGTTGTGGCCAGCAATTTCAATGAGCTTTCAGCGAAGTAATTGCTATGCGATGGCAATACAAAGATCAGTATCATTAATACACATGATATGAAACCTGGACGTGCCTAGGAACTCCGATAAAAATTAGTAAAATCATCCGGCAAAAAATCAGTCAAAATATCCCCGTCCTAAAGCCCTCATAGCGTCCATTTTTTTCGCTCGTTTACACGCCCTTGAACGGCAGGCTATATCATAGCCGTGATGCGTAGGCGTCTATAGTCAGACGCCAGTAGATATTTCATGGTCGCTATGTGAAGTGGACCAGAAGTAAATTCATTAACATGTCACGTCAATAAAAAAAAGTCATCAATACAATTATAACTTGAAAGAAATGCAATGTTTTTTGCCTAAATATTTTTTATATACCTAAATACGCCAAATAAACTTTTTAGTATAGTAGGAAGATTTAGCAATCCAAGCTTTTTTCGAATTTATTTCCAGTTACCTGAAATAAGAGTAAATCACATCTTATACTAGTTAATAAAACACAACGCTAATATGAGCATCAACAGAAACAATAATAATAATAATAGTAAAATGATCTCTGAAATGTCAAAATTTTTAAGACACATTAATTAGTTTGTAGAAATGATAATTCAATTAATTAGTTTGTAGGAATTATAATTAAATGATAATGTTTGTAGAATCGATAATGATAGAGATTAAATGCTAGTTAGATAGAGAAACCTCGAATGACTTATATTACTTCCCAATTCAGCTATCGAAATACAGTAAAATGATCACTCCGATCGCACCCACTTCCAGGAAAAATTTTGCCATGCCGACGTATACCGCGTATAGTCTGAGCTGCGTAAACAATTCTGAATGCCGTACTTTCATTCATTCGGTGAAATTTTTTTCGGTGTTTCTGAAAAATTTGGTTCGTGCCGTCAGTGTAAAAATTGTGTTCATTGCCGTCAGTAACGATAAAATTGAATCTAAATTTTTTCGCTATTTTACAACACTTTTATTTAACACTTTTCTTTCTCTTTTTTTTTCTCTCCAATCGATCTGAAATTTTGCACACTTGCGCAAAGTCTGAGACAATGAATGAATCAATTGACAGAGTTAAGAAAGAATTAAAATTAAATGTTTTCAATGTTAAAAAAATTTGAACAAGTAATTTTATAGCTACAAATTTATTAATCGATATTTAACACATTTCTATGTGTTAAATCGATGTGAAATTTTGAACACTTGCGTAAAGTCGGAGACAATGCATGAATCAATTGACAGAATAAATAATTTTGAAAATTTAAATGCTTTCTATTTGTTAGAAAATGTATAAATTAATGTTTTTTAATATTTAACAATAAAATTAGAAATTCATTGTACATGTATAACAACGGAGACACGTACTGGATTATTTAGCAGTGTTGTCATTAAAAAATAATTTTTAAACGCATATCATTTATACTAATCCAGCATACGCGTAAGTCCTATCATTCAAAATTTATTCCAAAGCTGAATACTGTAGCTTCTAATCGATACAAGCCAGTGAATCAAAATTGTTCTGAAAAATTGCGTTCATTGATCATGCTTTTGTTTCAGGCAAGTCAAGGTGAACATGGAAGGTGTTCCTGAGCGCATTTTGGTGAACAATTAAAAGGAGCAAGCGGCTGTCAAATTACCGCATTTTGTTCTGTTTTGAGCATTTGCGCGATTATTAAACATTAATAATCTACGTACATTTATGACGGTGCGGATTCCTCCTTCCTTTTTAACAATGCATTCACACGTGAATTATTACATACTATTTTTGTTTATTCAACTCCTTCGTTTATATAATATGCTTATCATTGAACAAATGTATAGACAATGAGTGGCGTTCAGTGAAATAAATTTAATTTAAATTTAAAAATAATTAAAACTAAATTGTCAGAGCGTGTTTGATGAAGAGGCGTGGAATTGTAGGTGAAAAACAAAGCCTGAAAACGGCCTCGTAACAGGTACAAGTAGATTATTGTGACAGGTTCTCATTGTGGCGATTCCGTCATGACGAAGCATTAACTAGACTCGAAATAATTTAAGAGAATATATAATGAAAATTATACACATGGGTAACGAGTGTGGTTCATAACTATATTCGTGGTCGAAGCACATATAGTGCGTTATGTTATGTTTGTATAAATGATTTAGTGGAATGTTCTCAAACGAGGAAAAAGGAATTTTTCGCGTGTGCCTTTTCTTTGGCATATAGACAGCAGGCAAACCATAACCATGTTTTTGCAGTTTCAACGTGGTTGGTGAATAGTAATACAGTTGGGGTTGGGGAATAGTAATGTTGTCAACGCCATTGGGTACATTAGGACCGAAGTAAGTTTCATCCAAGGTCTTGGAATGAGCGTCGGGAGAAGGGCATCATCACGTATAGGAAATTTCCCCTTGGTTCTTTCACTTGCCAACTGCGATTCTTAAAGTGAATGGATTGACGATGAATCTGACAAGGTAAATCTGGGCATTCCGTTCATCAGATTGAAATTTCCATGAATGAGAGGCTGGCTTTAGAAATGCTTCAATACCCGAATCACGAAAGAATGTTACATTTACTTGAAAGTGATTTTCCTTTGAGAGCAAAGTGTTTCCATGACTTTCCCTAAATCTAGTATTAATGACATATATGATCATGGTATTGACTTAAGATAAAATTTATTTATGTTAATTCGTTGTCGTCATATATTACGAGTTTTTGTTGTATGACTGAAATCGGCGATACCATTCTATCAGCCATTTTAAGCGTGACTGAAGACGTGTGTAAATTTGATTTCATCATTGGAATGAAGCTTACATGTGTATACTTGGTAAACGGTATTGTTTAATATGTTTCATGTTAAAAATTCGCTTGCAAACATGAAAACATGTTACGACCTTAAAGATAGTTGAGGGCCCAATGTGCATCGCTACTAACTGAACAATATGCGTTTTGTGACAGAGGACAAGTCTACACTAAGTTTGTTTGATATGTTCATTTTAAACGAAGGAGGTGCATGTCATACAAAGATTATCTAAGCGGGTCAGGAAGTATATATTTGTTCATCATTATCACATAAAAACACCATCTATTAAGGTCTGAGCTTCACTCATTTCAAACAATGATGAATCTTACATTTAGATCAAAATTTTAACGATTTCCCGATCCATGAACACGAACCGGCCTTTAAAAATGAATTTGTAGGAAATTTAAAAAAAATGACGACCTTCGGTCGAACTAAAAATTATACTATTATATATCATAACTTCTTCATTGTAAAGTAATTGCTATTCATCCTTTAAGGCATTCATTTCAAAGTTTTTATTAAATTATTTATAAAATCTATTGCATGGCGAAATGCTATTATATTTGCATATATTTGATCTCACTTTTTGCCGAGCATGAATCAAGTGATTGTGAATGTGGAAATACGAGATACCAAGACTGAATGTTCGAAATTAATTAATCAGTTTGTGTGAATTTTCCGACTATACTTTTTTGACAAAAAAAAAAAGAATTCAAAACAATGTAAATTAAGCTTATTTTCATCAAAAATATTTCAGAGACAGCTCAATAATAACTTGAACAAATTTTTCAGTAAAACAAGAACATTAATGGAAAAGGACAGAATTGCCGGATGAACGTGATAACGAACGTTCATCAATTAACATTTTCAAGCGTATATAGGAACTGTAAGCGTTGTTTAAGACAAGGCTTCTGTTAAAATATGCAATGATTCAGGACTACTCCAACCCAAGGAACCAGAGGTGGAACCCAAAATTGGAAAATTGCTTATCAAATCAGAAATCTGCATCAAACAGCGGTTTCAAGATTTTAACTCAACTTTGATTAAATTCAAACTGTTTGAGTTTAGTTGCAACCCCTCGATATGGTGCCCCATGAAGCAACCAGTATACTTTTAAACCAATGCTCCCAAAGTTCTCCCTGGGGGCGGTGGAAAGATTTGGGAGTAAGGTACAAATTGTAGCATACCAAATATCAAGAACGAGGTGTTGTTTCCGTATGTCTGTTGGGGGGCGCTAGGAATTTACTGGGGAGCCAAGGGGCGTCAGCCTGCAAATGTTTGGGAATCGCTGCAAACGATTCCATTCTTATAGAGTCAAAAACAAATGCAGGGTCATTAATCGACGATTCATTTCTACGACAGAAGCAGTTTAATAATAGACTTATATCCCGATGGTTGTAAAATAAGAAGCCATGGAACGGAGTTGCGTTCATTAAAGCCATTAAATTTTAACAAGCTCATCAACATCATCGGTGAAATGGCTCGATTTAATTAGTAGCACAGCATTACGGAGATACTCTAAACATTTTTTTACCTGTGACATAATTAACATCAATGCTAAATAATTAATAGAATATTATAGAAAGGGTAAGAACTTGTAAATGATTTGGTGCGACCCAGTTGCCGTCGCAGCGAACAGATTGGCAATAGGGCAAGAAGCTAAGTGTAAGTTGCATTCAATACGCTCAACGGAACGCACGTACACGAAAAAAATGATGATTTGGTAATAAAATTAATTAACAAATTCCATTAAGTAACATAAACTAATTAAATGAATTAGGAATTGCCATTAATTATTATAAAAACTGGAAAAAGCCAGTTCAGGCGGCTATTTTGGTTTTAGTCTCTTCGGTATAAATTTAGTCGTTGTTCTGTTCATAATGCCCTTATTTTGGGAAGTTCCTAAGTGAGGATGAAGCAGGTTTCCGAAAATTTTCCAATGAAATTATACTTCATTTTCCTGAGTATTTTCATTGCTCTTTAAATTTTCATGAAAATTCTTCTAAAAATATTACTTCGAAACATATAACACTGAAAAAAAATTATTTAAGGTACACCGAAAGAACAGCTTTTTTCAGTTAATGACGCATTGGGTTGATTCTTCGGTTTCCATTTCTGCTGCTGGCCTTTTCTGCGAATCTTCTGTGCAGGCTTCTTGCTGAGTTTGCTGCTCATGTGTAGACGATAGGAAATCTGATGGACAGGAATTTATTATTAGGTCCGATATCACCAAGTACGTCCTGATACGCCAACACTGCGCAAGACTCGGCGTTTCTCTTCTGCAACTGGAATATTCTCTTGTTACGATAATTAATTTGTTTTCTCCGCATGCCTAGTAAAATTGGATGATTTTCTCTTCCTTAAATTATTCATTAGAAAGTGCTTACTGATCTTCAAGTAACATACAAAATAACCGACGTGGGTAATAGCCGACAATAAAACTAAAATCGAGGTAAAAGCTATTTATATACATGCTAACTGTCCACTGATATTCATAATTAGATGAAAAAATCGGTAACTACATATATACTTTTAAATGTGAATAGTGAGGACGGGGTGCAACTATGACAAACTCGCGTGCGAGTCCTGCGTCAAGGAAAATACCAACTTATTTAAACCAATACAGGGAAAATGGTAAATCCCAGAACATACTTTACATATTTATAAGTAGTAATTAAACTCTAAACTTCTTGAAACCGTAACTTTAGGTTTGCTCGTATAACCAGAGCATGCAAGTAACTCACCACGGTTTTCGCGGAGCACAAACTGCGAGCGGTCAACCAGGCACAGCTGCTGAATGCGCTCGACTGTCAGAGGCGACGCTGAGGAGCAGATGTTTTGTAACTTAATTAATAAAGTCCATACCGTTAATAAAAACAAATGTTAGCTTGGTGAATATGGGATAACAAGTTTTCCTTCATATGTTAATCACTGTTTCCTATTGTTCTCGTACGTCGGCCTTGTACATTTCACTTATAATACCGTCTCTTTGCATTGTACCTACTTTCTTTGGCGTTACTTGGATCTAATAGAACAATGCACAATTTATCAAATATGGTACAATAACAATAAACGATTTTTTGCAGGAATTTAAATCAATGAATAGTTTAACCAATATAATTTTAAATTATTCCATATCAAATGGGATAGACGAAACCTGCCTAATTGAAATGTACATGAGGTCACTACAACCATTAATCAGAATGTCTTTGTAATTGCGGAACGAAAGTGTCTGTAAAATAGATACAGCTAATGTGAACAATTGCAGTAAGCAACCTTTGTGAACAAGAATAATAAAACCGCTTAGCATATATAAGAATACTAGACTCATTAGCACTACCATCACGGGGACGTGGACATTACGAGATTTTCCTCGATCTGGCAAAGATTTTTAGTCTCATCACCATACAAATTTTCAAACTGCGCGAGCTACGCCGGGTTCAAATTGTTATTCACTGACATTTTTATTTACATCATTTATACAATTTTTCAATTGGAAAATATTGTTACAGAATCAAGTAATAGGAAGAAACTATAGTGATAAATAATTTTGCGACAAAAATAATATTGTCTTACGAATATGAAACCATCCCATGACGCCGGCATCGGCCCTGGCGGCCGCTATGGCTTGTCGGAGAGCGCCGACGATCCCGAACGCCAAGCACAGCGGCGGCTCTCCAGTCGCTACCATGGAGGACAAGTGGATAACTTATAATCTATATTGTTTTTGTTTTACAAATATTGGTATATATCAACTTTCTCAGAATAAATCTGTTTTGATTGTTTCTAAAAATTAAATCGGTATACTGCTAGAAACAATAAAGAAAACCAATGGAATAAATATTTTTAGTAGATTTTTCAGTAAAGAAGAATAACCTTTCGAGCTGAGCACGCCGAAGGGATTAGGCGCATTCGACAGGAGCGTCACGCGAAGATCTGCTGGAATGTCCAGGGCCGTGGGAGGCTTGTACTCCTGATTGGAGTTGAATTTGGAAATTTTTAGCGCATTTTCTCATTTATGGAAAAAATGCACTATTGTGCTCACCATGTCCGTCCGTCTGTGTGTCCGTCTGTCTATCCGTCCGTAACTTCACGTTTTTGTCGACGAGAAAATGCGCTCTCATGCTGTCATGCACAGCAGTGAGTACTGAGTTATATTTTTTCCCTTTAGCACTTCTTACTTATTATTATCGCCTATTTTAATAATAAACCAGTTATTTTTAATGCCTCTACCTCAAATTAAAACTTTTTAAATCTCTCTATATAAAAGATCGGGTTCCAAAGGCCGGATCCCTTGTGAATCAAGTCACGAAAAGTTCATGAATCGGCAACAGGCCATGGGCCTATTTCTTCAACGCCGACACTTCTCTTCTATTCTATTCTATGGCGATATTTTACATGGATAATAGACCGGAAGTGCGTACATGTGACGAAAGCGCTCCGACGTTTTCGTCACACGACGACGTACAATTATCCATCAAAGTTCGAATTTAATGCGTTAAAGGGATTAACGTCTATACTCGAACGCTTCGTATAGAGGTCGGGCCTCGAAAAATAACTCAATCAATTATCGCCTCACTTTCAACAAAACACAGAATTACAATTCGAACGTCAGAAACCACAATGAATACTCATGATGACACTTGCACAAACTACTAAAAACCAGCGACCGTTTTTGATTTGCTAACAGAAAATAGCCATGGCAATCAAGATACATAAAACCAGTTTTCCGCCCCATTCCACTAGTGTCGAGAAACAAAGAAAGTAAATTCGCGAATATCAGACATTGTGTCGACCAATTTCGTTAAGATTGAAAAAACTTCGCAACTCGGGACTTTGTATTTCGGAAGGATAAGTGTGTGACGAGTGACGGTTGAGCAAAAAGTCTCACACCAAAACCAAAGCAAAAACAAAACAGCACCCTCTCTATCTCTTACTCCTATTGCCTATCCGTCTCAGACAAGAATATTGAAGCATACGATGTCGATGATCTCAAAGAAGATTAATTTAATATACCTTGATCACAAAGAAGTTTTGCAGTTACTAAGACAAAGAACCAAAAACATTATTATCATGAATTTGAACGGTGCCGAATAGTCATGATTTTAAACATCCCTGGTCCTATATATTCAAGCCTCTGCCATTTTTTGTCCACGGATATTAGCTTCTCTGCAGCAATGAGCTTGAGCGACGACCAGTTTATAAACGAGCTTATTAATGCAGAATGAAAGGTGGTAATGAAAATCTTTCTGTGGTCGCATGACTAAAGAATTAGATCTCGAAGTCCAATAATTGATTTAGTTATTGTTATTTTGATTTTGTATCAAGTTGTGACAACGAAACTCTAAGTGAACCTCACATACACGAAACTGGCTTCAAACACTTCAATAAAACAAGAAACTTTCCCCTTTAGACGCAGCCAGATCAGTGAACAAACAATTCGCGTTCTATTTTTCCAATGACCTACAATGAGAAGTCATATCTTTAGAGTAAATGACTTCGTGCTCCGAAGATGGATGATTCTCTCACTTCAAAAGCCACTTGAAAACAGGAAGTGAATCTATTCACATTTTTTGGATAAAGTAGAGAAACATTATGGGCAATTTATTGGCCTTTCAATTCAGAAAAGAATTTTTCAATTCAGAAAAGAATCGCGATTTAGAATGGTCTTGTACACACCAAACAAGTTTCGCTTCACGAGTGCCACAAAACACCTCGGGGCACAACTATATTCCTTTCCCCTTACTTCTGTCAACTCGGTCGCTCTAGAAGACAGGAGACCAGCTCAGCCTAACGTCGTAGTGTCCAAACACTGGATGGAGCTATGAGAGTCTGGGTCAAAGCTTTATGTCCCAATACCTGAATGCAGTTCGCAAGCTCAATGATTAATGAATCTAATGG